TTTTTTCCCCCTTCACATTCAGTCTTACTCAGGGAAAGCCAGTGAAATAGGAGTTAAATTTAAAATGACTAATTTACAGCCTCAGATTTTAAAAAGAATAGGTTTCTTTTCCATTTGATATACTGAACTTGATCTAATTTCCAGCTGAAATAATTCTAAAAGATCAAAAATATCTTTTAGCTACCTGAAAGAAACTATCTTGAATAATGGTATTGTTAGGCACTATGACTATGAAACATGGTGGTTGGGATGGAACTTTCTAGAATGGATTTTTAAAAAAATTTTCACACTACCACGTGACCCATTCTTACCAGTAAAACGATTTCTAATGTTCAGTGGCCTACACAAAACTGGTGATGTTTTTCTGGGTTGTCTTCAGAGTAGAGAAAGAAAGAGAAAAGCATGAACAGGGAGAGAAAAAGACGTAAGTAAAACCCCCCACGGACCCTCAAACCAAAAGTATCAGAGTTCCATGATGCATCGTTTGCAATTTAGGCCTTCACACTCCCTGGCCTAAATTTGACAACAACTCCAGACGGTAACTTTTCAGATTCCTTATGCTTCGTTTGTTTATCCATGTAATATGTTGCCTTTGGGGGAAACAAAAGCAAAAGTACAGTAACGTGTGAAGTGGTCTACCCCTAAGGCATCAGGACCACAGGACCCCACCCTGCTAGTGCTCCGTGTGATTGGGTATCTAAGGGTTTTCCTTTTGTTTGGTTTTGTTGTCTGTTGCAAGGCCAATTTATCCATTACTGGAAATGCTAAGCAAGTGGAATTTACTGTTTTGTTAATAAAATATTTCTTAATACAACTGTGGATGTATTGATTTCAAAGCATGACACATGGCTCCATTTTGTGATAACGTTGCACAGTAAGGAGACAGTGTTTGTCAACAGCATGAGAAGCAGTTTCACAGCACCAATTAAAAAACAACGGGATTAAAATCAAGTAAATCTGGTATAAAATTCCAAAACGACCACGTACTGACTGTGAGTTAAATAATCTCTCTGACTCTCACTTTACTCGTCACTAAATATAGATTAATACCTCATAGAGTGGCAAATATTATAAGGTAATGCTGTGACTTGTACAATTAAGTGCAAATAAAAAGGATTAGTGCTAATAAATAAGTTCTCAAAATAATAACAATAGACTTGAGAAAGCATGTCTCAAAAGTATTTACTCCAGTTGTGTTATTTGAAAATTAAACAATGCAGAAACACACTTATTCACTTCCTATCAACTTAATATATTTGTTTCCCAAAAAGCAAAGTGATTTATTGGAAATTGGTTGACTCATTAGTTAAAATTATAATTTTTTCCAGTAGTTGATAATTGTTACAAAATCCTGGCCTTTAAAAGTAATCTACTGATATAAAAACACTAGTTTGTTGTTTATTTCCTTTGATGCAAAAGGTACAAACATGAGCATTTAACCCAATTTTTACTCACAGTGTTTATGCACCTACTGTTTATTTGTTAAAGTTCAGTAATAGTTTCTTTAATAATGTGGGGGAAATCTATGTCTCATTTAAGGTCTAAGTTCAAGCAATGAAATTTTTCCAACTTTAAGAATATAGAACATTTCAGGAAGGATGATTATATGACACCCTTTATCAGTAAACGTACCAAGGATTCTTGATCTGAAGTAAAGATCCAGAGGGCTGAATGATTAGACAGCATGAAATATATATGTATTTCAAAATATACAAAAGAATTTCAAGGTGTCATAGAAAATTCCATTATTTTTAATCTTTTCATTTCATTATTCCATGAACTTTTGATTGTGTGTGTAACATGGAGCCTTGATGGTGTAGTGGTTACGCATTGGGCTGCAATCCCCATGGTCTGCAGTCAAAACAACCAGCTGTAAAGAGTTACAGTCTGGGAAACCCACAGAGGGTCACTATGAGTCAGTTTTGAGTCGCTATGACTTGATGGCAATGAGTTTCTCATAAGTATGTGTGTATGTGTGCCTATGTATATACATATATATGTGGATATATGTCTACTCACTTTCTGACTGTTTAATTATCTCATATTTCACATTTACAACTATAGTAAAACAAAATTACTCTCTCACACATTAATGACATACATCTGTCAGTAACAAACACGGAGGTGCAAGGCAATTACAGCACTGGTGTAGCAGCACTGTCACTTTAGTTGTACAAGCTGGCAAAAACACAGCTCACCCAAACTAGGTCTCTCTCTGTATGGATTTTTAGCTATTCTAATAAGTTCTTAAAGTATGCCCTTATTTTTAATCATTTGTGTCTACTTTTACCAAATAGCAAAATGTCTTCAAAGAGAAAGAGCATTATTAGTTCAACTCAAAGTAGCAAGTTGATTTTAATATGAAAATTATAATCATCAAAGCACATGAATCAAGGATGAGAGCATTATAACATGAACAAATCAGGGTGCCATCTTTGAGAATACTCTAAGTGCTGATTTAGGTTAAAATTTTAGTTAAATTAGGTAAATTATTTCATCATTTGAAGATGAAGTGCTATGCAGACACAACTCAAATGCTATGTTACCTATCGTAAGGTAGGCTCAGCTAGACTTCCCCCATTTTCATATAGCACGGGTTGTCACATAACAACTTGGTCTTTGGAACCTAACCATATCAGTAAGTAAAGAGTGAGCATACATACAATTTGGCAGTTATGTATTGATGGGATTTTTCCTATGAAAAGTGCTTCCTTCATCAATATTCTCAAATTCTCAGTGGTTTCCAGAATTCCTGAAAAGTTTTAGAACCACTGAGAGACACAACACAAACAAAAGTTTTTTTATTACAATGTTGAAGATGTACATTTTGGTGAAAGTTAGGAAACCATCAAGATTATGTCATGAACTTTAAAAAAATACTATCATAGTCCACATATATTATCCATCCAAATATTCATATAAGCTGATTAACTTTTATTAAAAAAATAACACCTTGCTTCATATTAGAACTGAATTCATCAGACATTTATTAAGTAATAAACTAAAGCCCCAAACAAATCAATAAGGCTGACTTCTAGTTGATTCCAACCTGTTTTGTTTCAAGGCAGAACTACTCCATAAGGTCTTCATGGCAATACAAATTACTCTGTTCAATCCATTGATTTACTCTTTGAATAAGTTGAGTTTATTTAGAAGCAAACTTCTCCATATTTTGTAGCAATTGGCTGGACATCTTGAAAGTAAGTGAAACATATCCAATCAGGTCCCCGTCACCAAAATATCTATTGTTAATATTATGGATATTATCAATATTTGGAAAATAATACCCTATGTCCCTCAACAAGGATCCATACCTAAGAGAGAATAGTGATAAGATAGCGTCGAGCGAATTTGGTGAAGAGTATGGAATAATTCCTTGGGAGAGAAAGAAATTGAGGATCAAGAAGAAAGAAAAAGATCTGCGGACCTAAAGCTGACTAGACAAATGCTCTCTAATTACCCTCTCTGAACAAAGATTTTTTTTTTAAGTCAAAAGCAAACAAGGCTTAGTTCTAAAACTCCCGGGTGGAACAAAATTTGGGGCCAGACACAGCCTGGCAGGTCAAAGGGGCTAACACCATGCAAGAAGCCCTGGTGGGGTGTGGGGGTGGGGGGCGGGTGTGGAAAGCAGATACCTTAAAAAGATTCTGCTTTGAAAAAAAAGAAAAATTCTGCTTAATAGCCCCTTCACCCAATGCACTGATCCCTGCAGTGCTGGAAGAGGGGAAAGGTGAGCTGACACAACACATGCTGTGTAGCATGCAGGACCCACCTAGGTGCCAAGTGATCCCTCTCCCTAGTGTTGTTGGGGCCTGCAGCATTTATAACCAGAGTGAGCTCATAGCTCTCTCCCCAAATCTCACTGGGCACCACCCACAGAGGACAGTGACACCCCTTCCCTGGCAAAATTGAATAAGTAAGCCCACCCTAGGTGATGGCGAAATTAGGTGAACCTGCTTCAGGGAGTCATAGGTCCAGTGTGAAGAAAATTAACATGAGAAAAATATGAAACTCATCAACATTCTGCAGCCCTCGGGCTTAAAGAGATCTGACCCCTTGTCAGTTCAAAAGCAGAGAAGGTTAATGTAAAGACACCTTAGTCCCTTTTAACTACTTGTCTCCTGGATTGTCATACTATGGTGGCTTGTGTGTTTCTGTGATGCT